TGAAGAAAAGATGGTTGCTGAGGCCAGAAGTATTAATTAGCGCGACAAAATACAGTGTTCATCAAGACAATCAAGAACCTTACACTGATTTCACAGTATACTACTACCAATAATATTAATAATATCCTTGCCTCTTTCTTATCAGATTCTTCAAAGTGTTGTCAATTCCTCGCGTCTCTTCCCTATAGATATTTCGACCGGCATATAAATTTTTCATTGTTTGTTTCTAGTAATGACTCATTCCTTTGTGTTTTCAGTGGAATACTGGCCTCCATGCTTGATGCTTTGAAGTTACAGTTTCGATGTTGTTTTTTAGGGGGGTTGGTTGCTAGCCTTGCGCAAAATCTTCCCCTTTTACCACTCCCAATACTGGCTAAGAGAGGTTTAGCAGTGCATCGACAAAGAATCGAACCTGGAACATATGCGTGGCTGAAGACCACTCCAACACTAAACCACCGACTAATCACTCTTAACCCACCGCTCATGTTTATTTAAAAGTATTGCACATCACAGTACCACTGTCTACAGAGTTAAACTGCCGCCAAGATATGATATTATCACTCGCTTAAATAATCATTTTTAATTCCCCGCTGATTGATTCTGTTGATCTTGATCTAAGCACAACAGTTGTTGGAATCAATTGCATAGTAATCACATGAGGTACTCTAGTGGAAAACAATTTAGTGTTTGGAGCGTATATCCTGGCTCTGAGTCTCACTGGGATGCCAGTACATCCAGCTGCTAGCCACCGTCGTCTAAATAATACTGAGATATTGTTTGTTATCTACCGATGAGTATCCTAATCAGTCAACAGCCAACAACTAAAGCAACCATCTTTATTATTAAGGGCTACATTTTCAACGGGGAATAAGATTATTTCTCACAGCAAACGAATATCATCTTTAACGTTACATCGCTTGTATTTTATTAGTAGCCTCATGGAATGTATTGCATCGGTTCGAGTCCTTTCGTAACAGATTTTTATGTACTCTTTAGTCGTCCATCACCAATCATATCAATAGTAAGTCTGGCAAACAACAGCTATATTAGATATATAATCTCACAGTCGAAATGTTCTTTTTCGTGTTTCGGGTTTTCTGAAATTATATTGTCATATTGTAATAATGCAGAAAATTTGTAGCTCAGATGAATGATATTGAATTAACTGTGTTCTCTGAGCTGGCTGATTTAATTACAAAGCACTCCTGTGTTGGTGAGAGTGTAGGAAAAATGCCTAGTAACAGTCTTCAAAAAGAATGGATATCCTCACAATTTCGTCAAAAAGTGTTTCAACTCGAGTCATCACACCAACAACAAGTCAACATCAAAGGCCACAAAAAAGTTCATCCTACCATGTATAAAAAATTTCTCTGATAACATCTTGAATATTAAGACCGTTTGAAATCGATACATATCACGCAAGCCAGCACAACCGCTTCATTCGAAATTGTGCCAACCAAAAGATCCAACAGAGAAAAAAGATAAAATTAATACCATTTACAAAATAAACTGTATGAACTGCAATGAACATTACATCGCTAAAATGGGCACCCCGTTCGAATCCGAAGCCAAGATTGGCTATAAAAAGGCATGTTGTATATTCTTTGGTACTAATGCATGTGGATAATTATAGAAAAAATCCCCATTTAGACATTTAGATAACAGAAAGATTGAGCGAAGAAATATTTACTTTTCAATTAGATCCTCATCTTTGGCTCTACTCTAATATATATAGCATTTTAATTACAATACAACAGTTTGCCAATCAAGTGGCGATAAGTTTGTTAACAATAATTAAACAGTGTCGATGGGTTAATAGTTAACGAAGAAAATCAATACAGATTTAAAAGGTGGGAATGGATAGAATAAATTAATTTTACAAGAATAACACGTAAATTAAAGATAAAGTGGTCTTAATAAATAAAATAAAATAAATAATTTAGACAAATATAATTTTATAGGTTTAGGGGGAGGGGGTGACGCCGTCCTGTTTATCCATTCTTGTGACGATGGCCATGGTAGGGAAAGTGGCTGTACAAATTTCTTCTGTACACATAGGCTTGGCTTCTTCAGATGAATGCCAATCGCCTCAGCCGTCTGTAGAAGACGAACTCGCAAAGCAAAATTAAGATAAGTTGGAATGCGATAAATAATTGTAAATGCTGTATTAACGTCAACCTTATGCTCACTATCTACAAGATGTGCTAAAATAGAGCTATGAATAGATCTTGTTTGTCCCTTGCTTAACCACGTTGGATGATGTTCGGAAATACGACGATGAACTTGCCTAATTGTACGCCCAATGTAGCTGGCTCCGCAGCTGCAGTCAAACTGGTAGACACACATAGAGGAGGCGAATTTAGGTAGTTTATCCTTATTTCTCGAACATAGAATAGGTGTGGTTGTAAAGAGACAACGTACCTCTGCTGCATAATAAGTTCTTTTAACTGCATTCTTCAGGCGCTGTGTTATTATTTCTCTGATGTTGTCACTGAGGAACTTCAGACTTATGAACATTGGTTTTTTCGGGACTGTGGCCATACTGACTCTCCTTGGAGCTGGATTTACATTTTTCTCAATGAATTTATCTGGATAGCCATTTTTTCTAAGTAATTCTCTAATAATCTTAAGCTCCTCATTGAGGCAGTCGTCTGAACAGTTTAACCTAGCTCTATGAACCAGACACTTCACGAGGTTACGTTTATATTTCAAAGGTACAAAACTCAAAAAATGAGTGTACTGACCTGTCGTCGTAGGTTTCCTATACACACTTCTTCTTAGTGTGCCATCTTCTCTCCTTACCATGAAGACGTCTAGGAACGAGATACTGTCATTACTTTCTTTCTCTATGGTAAAGTTTATTGCTGAATGTGCATCATTAAACTTGTCAAGGATGTTCATTGCATCATCCTCATCTTTTATAACCACAAATGTATCATCCATATATCGACAGTAGAAATCCAAGTCATTAATTACTCCTTTTAGTGGTCCATTCTCTAATTTAGCGAAGAAAAAATCAGCTAGGATTGGACCTAATGGGGAACCCATAGCCACACCATCAATTTGTCTGTAATATTCCTTATTGAATAGGAAATGAACATTCATTGTACATCTTAAAATAAGTTCCTTCAAGGTGGTTACAGAAATCCCGATATCTATGTTTCGTGTAGTAATCTCTTCACATATAAAATCCACTGTTTCTATTAACGGTACATTGATGAACAAGGAGGATACATCAAAAGATATCATAAACTTGTCCCTCACATTAAAATCTCTTATTTATTATAGACACCAATTTGACTGGGATAATGTAGAAATGTTGAATACAGGAAACGTCAAAAATACTGCCAATGAATTCCTAGAAGCCTGATACTCAAGTAAATTAGCAATTAACAAACACATTAATATAGACCGAATTTACGAGTTACTAAAAAGTAATTCACATAACAAGAAAGTTCGAATTCCAAGTCAGTAAAATATATATGACGTAAATTAACAGTCAGTCACCACAATGGTCGCTAGGAGAATTTAAATTAGTCCATTTTATATTCAAACCTGCGCTGAAGATGTTGTTAAGAAGGACGACGAAATTAAATCAACCAGCTCAGAGAACACAACTAATTCAATAATAAACTAGTCGTGGTTATCTGGGGATTACCTGTTTATGCTTCGATACGAAGAAGGAAACTGAAAATTCACTTAGCATTCCTAACATATCACTGTGATAAAAGTGGTATAAGATTGTAAACCTACAAATTTCACTTTGACATATCATCATCTCTGTCTTCTCCATTTTCGCCTGAATTCCGATATTGACTATCTCCTCTGTCAACTCATTGGCTATCGATTGTATATCGTTGCATTTGTACAGAATGAAACATAAATCATCATCAACATGTTCTGTGGTCGTTTTTAGTCCAAAGTATGCCTGTTTTACCATTCACAGTCAGAAAGGTCATCGGAGATAGTAGGCAGTCTTTTATTACTCCTATTTTCACCTCAAACATCTCTGCGGCGTTAACATTTTAAACTACTTACTCGGTGTATGGCTTCATCAAACAGCTTTTGAATGAGGTATACAGACGTTTCCTACACTGTACTGCCTAAGCAGTCGCCAGGTTACTTCATGATCAATATTGTCAAAGGCCTTTTCAGAGTCAAGAAAGCTGAGACAAACAGTCAACTTGACACCGCCTATGCTGATCATTTAATAACTAGAAGTAACTTTCTTTTTGATGGCTAACCCTAGAATTCACCATGCATCTCGTCGTGTTCGAGATTAGTCAGCCAAATCACAATTGCTTAGCCGTAGTCTTCTTGCTTTCCAGTGCTCTTAAAATGTTGTAAATGGTGATAAAGACACACCGCGGGGACCTATCGCCTGTTTGATTTACTAAGGCAAATTCACACTGCTTCAGTACAAACACTGAGAGACATGCATTTACAATCTCTTCTTACTATTAAATATCAAGATACTCCTTTAAACCAGGTGTACTTCCTTCCTGATACAAGCTAATGCAATCATCGACGGGAAATCCAAACAAGTAGATAAATAATTTGAAATTAACCTATAATCAAATTATTAATCCCAAAGTAGAATGAAACTTCTTATCTGATAAAAACACAGAATAACTGACTTCAAGCTTTAATTTTTTCCTTAGGTATTTCTACCACATACTCCTAGAGGAATGAGAAGGCAATAGTTCCAAATTTCGTTATTCACTAGCCCCACTAAACTCTCCACTAAACGGCATACTCAGCAGACAATTCATATTTAAACTACTGGTGAAAACAACCACTGGAAGATAATTTCTTCAAAAGTGAGATTAGGTAATTTAAGTTATATTCTTACTTACCCATACCTGTAAAATTCGGCATGTACCTGCTAAGACGGGTTAAATCATCGATTATCACTAATACTTGTTTGCTCGTCTAAGTTTTATTTTCATAAGATTTCTATTACTGATGAACTGTTTTTTTAAAGAAAAATTTATGTCAAACTAATCAAATCCACATAACACAGTGAGTTCAGTATTACAGTCAATCGGTTTCCATAATGCTCTTCTTGTAACACTTCCAATACATTCGCCAGGTATATTTTCTCTTCGACAAACCCAACGTCTAGAAAAGGTATTCATAGACAAATGAAAGTTAATTTTATCTTTTGTAATGTTATGCAATGGTGTGCTTCTTCTGTTTCTATTTATCAAAATACTCAACACTTACGCATAGGTTGGCATATTCCTTGGAAAAATATAATCATCCCCACGAATTGTTTTTATTCCAGGCAAGTGGAAATTTGCTTTAACCTTTGCAGTAAGAAATAACTGGAAAGAAAACATTTGAAAAAACAATTAGATTTATACTGAAATTATATATATATATATATATATATATATATATGCGTATGTGCTGGGTAATGACTAAATATGAAGTGAAAATCTGTGTTGTGATAGGGTTCGGTATAGCAACTTTTGAATTGCCGCTTCGGAATTTCGTTTCATCCCTTCAGTCTCATCGTCTGTTGCATCAGTAACAGTATGTCGGTAATGCAGGTGTAGAACCTTATCTTACTTCACCCTTCTTTTTGTTCTCCCAATGTCGCTGAACATGTGCCGAAAAGCTTACTCCACAAGAGGATAAATGCTCTGGGCAGTGCTGCAGCCATATATCTTGTTGATACTTGGTGGACGTTCAGAAATCCTTTAAGATTATTAACAAACAGCATAATTCTCCTATCCTCAAGTATGCCGAAGCAATCTCTGTCAAAAGTGTAAAACCTAATTTATGCTTTTAGAAAGATTCACTTATCAGCCTTCGCCTTGTCCTGGTAACTCAGACTCTAATCTCTTCTCCTCATAATTCTTTTGTTTAAACCCCACGCCTAATTTTCGCCTTAACGTAATTTAGTCTCTCTGTTTTCTTGTTTCTATTACTTGACTTGAACTCATCACACCGTTAAGCAACTGATTAGTTACTTATCACCCTCTCATACTCACCTCTTGATTGTGCACTTCAATTTCCAATGTGTCCGATGATCAATTTTGTGTGTTTTTATTATGTTTAAACTCTGACCTCTTTGCATAAGTTATATAAGTGTAACTTGTGAGCATCGTCTATTAATCTTGTGTCTCTGTTAACCAGAAATCAAGTAACCCTTTCAGGTATGCTAAAATGACTCTGTACATATACTGAATTAACTTTTAGGTTGTACAAAGATGAAAAGAAACCAGCCAAATGAACGATGACTTCATCGTATTCCGCTCAAAAAAAAAATCCACTTTATTTATATTCATAAAGCGGAGTAAGAGTGTGGCATTATTTTGATGTAAAAAAAATCTATGCATTAGTGTAGAACCAATTATGAGGAATATATTTCACCCAGTTTATCGTTTTCTTTTCAAAATACCGTATTGGATAGGATTATTTGTTATAACACACATTGAGTGATGCAGGATGACTAAGTGAATGACGCTTCGATCAAAATAAATGAATTGCTCGTAATTATACCAGTGTATTTCTTATAGGTCTTTTGAAAGAAGAGTAGCGGTGCCAATAATGAGAATATTATGAATAACAGAAGGTGTCTGGCCTTGACAGTAACATCATATAAAGAAGGAACACCAGAAGTCCTATATGGGACACTCTGAATAAGGCTGAAATTAGGGTGACATTTAAACCAACCAACTCACTCAGAGACAAACCTCATCAGCTCAAGGACCTAATACACCCAATAAGGCAAAATAATATAATTTACTAAATACCACATAAAGGCTGTGAGGTGGGTTACATAGGTCAGACCAGTATAGATGGAGGTTAGTCATTAGAAAGTAGACATTCGACTAGATTTAGAATGACAGACCCTGATAAATTAAGTGATCTGCAGAAAATGTTGACAAAGTTTTCACAATGCATCCGCTTGCATATGATCACACAGTAGGACGACATAGGATGAAACTATTAAAAATTTATACATATATATGGATGGAGAGAGAGGTCAGTCACTGAATCAGTGTTCATCAAATCAACACCGAACATGTGCAGTCGAAGTGATACAGTACTTATACCTAATATGTGAGCACTTACGACGAATAACGAAGGAGGATACAGGAAAATATAGAGAAAGTAAATTATGAAACCGTGTGAACAAACTGACATGACTGTGAGCAAAAAACTGTTCTCGAATAGTTATATAGTTATCAGTGTTATGTCAAATAAACTCATCTAATGTGGGATAACAGTCTGTCAAGTAATAGGTATTTCAAAGTGTTATCATTATTATTATTACTTCCTAAGTAAAAGTTGACTACTTTTGTAACTCTTCAGTCACATACACTTTCTTCATCAGAATACATCCTGGCTATATGACCACCAACTGACCGACACAATTCTTTAGCTTCCCAATGTGTAGCATTTCGAAAAAAGTGAATATAACAAAGACCGTGATGCGGTGAACAAAAAAATTCTGAAAAAGGAAGCAAAAACAAAAGACGCAGAAAGCAGATTAAACAATTACACTAATATATAGTAAAAATAGAGGTATTAAGTGTCAGATGCATCCTTGTCAGTGGATCATTCTCATTGTGGACAGTTGCATATTCATGTATAGTTACGTTTATGTCCGACGAGAATTAAAGGGAGAAACATATTTTCACTTTTGATTAAAGTTCAAAACGTTCAGAAATAGCTACGCAATTTTAAGAAAATAACCACTTGCAGGCTACTAAGAATCAGACCAAGTAATAAAGTAGATGTTGCTTTCTTTCATTTCCTTTCATTTAGAGCGAAATACAGGAGCTAAAGCTTTAAAGTTTCAGTCGCGAGATAACTATTTGCCAATGTACAAGGCTCGGTAAAAGAGTGTATCAGCCGGGAATCGAACCTGGATAGTGTGTATGCTTGATGAGACGCCTTCCACTAAACCACCAACAATCAGTTCGACGATGTAATATAATTAATATAACTGTATGCACCTGAGTGATGAAAGTGGTTAGATACGATATGTATCCAATAATTGAACAAAGTTTTCTGTATGAGCAGATCAAACCCCACCAAAATCGAATTTTCCTAACTTCTGTACTTGCAGAAATTATGTGCCTACGCTTTTCAAGGTATGTCCACATACCATATAAACAACATCCAAATTGATTCCTGGTTTGGACTCGCTACCAGAAACACTTTGATAGGCCGAGTTGGAACTGCAAGAGAACTTTCTTTCTGTCTTGTGGGATAAGTGCCACCGTAGAAAAATGTTGCTCTATGGGGAACAGCTGATACTCACTTACCTTGCCTCGTATGCATATTATAATCGCTGGTTCGATTAGCTGGTAAATGAGTCTTAACTTGTCTGCATGAAGAGTTTTTACTACTAAATGAGGAAAGTAATTTCTCAATATTTACACTGTTCAGCTTGATTTACATAAGTGGAACAACTTGGGGAGTCCGTCGTCGCCTTATGTGGTTAGGAAAGGCAATTGTAAGTTCACTCAGGAGTCCCAAACTGGCACATCTAGTGGATACGCAGTACAAGGTTGATAAAAATTCAGTCTTTACAGCTTTATACATGGTGCTGCTTCAGTTATCTTGACTGGCACATCTTCGATTGGTTCGCATAGATGAGGCAGATGCCATCGAAATTTGTGTGTGTGTGTATTCAGAAGAAGTTTGTGCAGACAATCTTCCCCACACGACCTCCATCTTTAATCTAGAATAACTTTTCGTCCTGATAATATCGAATAATTGTGAACATTATTTTCACTGTTATTGTTACCATTGTATTTTGTAATCTCACTTTCACAATTTATTAAAAAGAGTTTAATATCGAATCACTGTAAGGCAGCAGTAACTGTTCCTCTCTATCCCCGTAAATCTTAGGCTTCTACTTATGCATTCACAAAAGTTAGCTGTCTATGTTATACAAACACTTGCATGAATTTTTACCTATTATTATTATTCACTAATCCTTATGCCTAGACTTAAGTTCTATCAACCACACTGGTTTCTAATGTCCATGATTGATTTTTTATCATGTAATTGTATAATCTAATGAGGAAGCGACGAAAACACTCATATGCTTAGTTTTAGCGGTTAAACTGTAGATATGGGAAAAGTAGCTTTCAGGGAACCATATGGACATTTTTGGGAGAATTTTGTTCACCTCTGATTACATGAACTGAAAGTAACCAGCATGCTGCCTAGTTATTCAAAAGATATAGGATTGTGAGTGAACTAGTATTTGGATACACTTTTTCTAATATCTTTGAACAGTTAAGCAAAATGGGATTTCTTGTCCAGGCAATATTTGGATGGTAGATACTATGTATTTTCTGGCACAAAGGAATGGTAAGGCATATTTTCGTGTTCACAGATACGCAGCAGTGGAAAACAGTAAGTTGTTTATTTCACATCGTTTTCCTGTAGAAATAGTGCGTCGGTGGTAGAATATTCACCCACCGCCCACGTGGGCTAGGGTTCAGTCGCCTCTAGACGTATTCCCTGAATTTTTCTAGCTGATAGAACCCTGTAAAAAGATGAGGTTGGCCGAGCACCGTGGGAAAAATAAATAACACAACTATCGGGACTTCAAAGATGAAGCTTGAAGACCTAGGATCAAAATAATAATAATAATGAATAATCCTGTAGATAAAATTTCAGACTTGTCTGTTGTCTTAAGTTTGTTTTACATCCCAAAATAATACCTCTGAATGTGAGGTTAACTAGACTGAAGGATGTGAGATTCTGAAAGGACTCGTGGCCTCTTCTGAGTTAGTTATTTCCTTTGATATAGTTAAAGTTCCATGAGGGTACTTCATATATTATTCAAAATGACAAATTGTTTTGTTCAGGTGTACTTTCTCAAGTTTCAACACAAAGAAATCTCCAACAACACATGCCAGTGGTCAACTCACAGCTGTATCGTCACTTTGTTTGTGTATTTCGCTGCTGAAGAAGTGCACATTAGAGATGAATTTTGATAGGAACTCCCTTTCAAAAAAGAGTAATTACTGTTTATATCCAGTCAATCAGAAATATTATATTCGCATATATGATACATCATAACTGCGACACTAAAATACAGGAAAACTGCATTGATTGAGAATGGATTTAATCATCGCACATTATCAGTCTGACTGACAGCTCCAAAAGAATCCCCGAGTAAATGAGAGTAAAGTTGGCTTACAATCAGGTTCATAATCCTGACTCACTTCTAAGCAATTAAATCTTGACGTGTTGTGAATAGGTCAAACAGGTGCTAAAAAAACAACCAGAAGGGATCCTGCAGTGACGTTCTCCTGAATTTAAACAATTCGGAATCAGTCACACTGAAAATAGAGATTGCTTTTTCAGGGAATATTCACTGATCTCTGTTCAGTTTTTTCTACTTTATTCTTTCTGTTGATGTGTTTGTCAGCACCCAGGAGAGTCAGTATGGCCACAGTTCCAAAAAAACTGCAATTCCTTGGCGAAATAATAACACAGCGCCTGAAGAATGCAGTTAAAAGAACTTATTATGCAGCAGAGGTACGTTGTCTCTTTACAACCACACCTATTCTACGTTCGAGAAATAAGGATAAACTACCTAAATTCGCCTCCTCTATGTGTGTCTACCAGTTTGACTGCAGCTGCGGAGCCAGCTACATTGGGCGTACAATTAGGCAAGTTCATCGTCGTATTTCCGAACATCATCCAACGTGGTTAAGCAAGGGACAAACAAGATCTATTCATAGCTCTATTTTAGCACATCTTGTAGATAGTGAGCATAAGGTTGACGTTAATACAGCATTTACAATTATTTATCGCATTCCAACTTATCTTAATTTTGCTTTGCGAGTTCGTCTTCTACAGACGGCTGAGGCGATTGGCATTCATCTGAAGAAGCCAAGCCTATGTGTACAGAAGAAATTTGTACAGCCACTTTCCCTACCATGGCCATCGTCACAAGAATGGATAAACAGGACGGCGTCACCCCCTCCCCCTAAACCTTTAAAAATTATAAAAATTCGAATTGTTCAAATTATTTTATTTTTTCCGACCACTTCATCTTTAATTACGTGTTATCCATGTAAAATTAATTTATTCTAACCATGTCTACCTATCCTCGGCCAACGCACTCCTTTACCTCGCTAAGACAGAAATAATGCTGGTAAAGAGGAAAGGTTGATCATGAGGATAGCAACCCCATCCTGCAAAATTAAACACTGCTGCAGAAACTTCAAGCCACTAGCTTGAAGCCCTATGTTCCACTGCGAACGTGAAGGTAAGAAAAAAATGTCCACCTCTTAAATGTGTATTGATTTTCTTCGTTAATTATCAACTCACTGACATTTTGACACTGACTAATTATTGTTAACAAACATATAGCCACTCGATTGGTAAACTGTTGTGTATTGTAATAAAAATGTTATATATATATATATATATGTCATTGAGAAGTAAATATTTCTTCGCTCAATTTCTTGTTGTCATATGAGAAATGAGGATTATCTAGAGGCAATCATTACATTTCCTCGACTCAGTATCAACATCTTTAAAAATTGAAATCATTAGAATTACCCTGCTATTAATTAGTTCTTAGTGTTTTACATTGTCCTTTCATCAACAAAAATCGACAGTTTGGTTCAGTGTTCAAGAAAGCTTGACTCCTGATAAAAGTGGTGTTCGGATTCTGATACTAAAAACCACACGTCTGAAACATCGAGTTGTCAAACTGTTTTAGTAGTAACTCATAATGGTAAGTCTTGATCCATAGCAAGCATCGTAATCATGTAAGTTATTCGTTGTCAAGGTTCTGACGACTTTTGATATTCCCTCCTTTTTCCTGAAATGATCGAAACTGATTTCTACTAGAAAGCATTTGGAAATATTTTCTTTTTCGTTGCCACGTAAGTGTATTATGTATATGCAAGTGAAGTCATCAAATTCACAAGAGTAGAAGAGTCAGATGACAAAATTCCTTTTTTAGATGCCTTTATCAGGCAAAAACGCGGGAAATCTATAACATAGATGTACAGGAAATGAGATCACACTCACCAAATAATCAACTTAAACAACATTTAATCCAACAGTACACAATATAAACTGTGTACAAACAATAATCAAAAGTGCTAAAATACACTGAAGCACTCAAATTGTCAAGGGAATAGAAGACAGTTATTTACTAACTAACCTCGAAAAAAAATGGACACCCATAAAATTTCATCAAAAATCGTCTAAATTTCAATCAAACTAACAGAAATAAGCCATTTTCAGAAACCACAAGAATATTCATCCTACCATATATAAAGAATGTTCCTTAAATAACAGCCGAAATACTCAAACTATTCAAAAAAGGTATAGACCCTAAACCGTAATCACTTCATTCAGTAATGTGCAGACCAAAAGACTCAATAACAAAAAAAGACAGAATCATAATAATCTACAGAATAAATTGCTTGAAATGTAATAAACACTACATCACTCAAAGGAGGTGTACCATCAAATTCGGAATCCAGGAACACAAACTAGACAAGACAAGCATTCTTTCATGTCTATGCATGCAGAAAACCACGGACACCATTTTGATTCAGAAAATATAGAAATTTTAAACAGTGGAAACACCAGAAATGCCATGGAATTCCTAGAAGCCTGGTACTCAGATGAATCAGCGACTAATAGACATATTATCATAGGTCCAGTTTGGTTGGACACGAAATAGTGTCGTGTGCCTAATACTTCGTCTACTGAAGACTGAATTCTGCCAGTCAGATCCAACTTGCTGACAAGTGCCAGCCTAGATCCAAGGCTTCCTGTCGATTGCCTGTCACCATCTGATAACGACAATAGGTCAAGTTTATCAAGTACTAAAGAATAAATCATATGAAAAAAGGCAAATTCGAAGTTAATAAAAACGGTCAATACTGATACCCATTAATAACCAGTCACAACAAAGTTGGTCAGGAGACACAACTGTATTACTTATGGATGATTCGAATAAGTTCATTTCACATTAAAGCTTCCGTTGAAGGTATCGTCTTGAAGGAAGACGACAGCTTTGCTATTAAATCACATAGCAACATCAACATATATATATATATATATATATATATATATATATATATGGAGAGAGAGAGAGAGTAGTTCCCAGAGGTCGGTTACCCTTTGTTCTGTGTCCTTTTGTTTATAGAAAATTAGGATTTTAAAATATGTGCTTATTTATATAAAATGAAAAGGCATTTTTGAAACATCTGAAAATACCTCGATCAGACTTGAGTTTGTCACCTTTTGGATATAAAAGTCCCAAAATTGCTGAACAGTTTGTTGGTTTCCTTGATATTTCTGCATTTATCCAACTAACATTATATAAGGCAAAAATAATAAATACAAATAATAATCTCGTATACATCTCAGTTTTAATGACAATAATACATCATATCGACTTATCTGAATTCAAATAATCAATACGCATAATTCATATATATATATATATATATATATATATATATATATATGATGAACCATTGAAAAACGAAGATTAGCAGTAAAAATGATAAAAATAACGAAAATATTGTAGAATTCAAAGCCTCTGTAGCACTGCCATGTAAAGAAGGGACTTCAGTGGCCTTACTTAGAATTCTCAATGACGCTGGATTTAGGATGGCATTTAAACCAAACGGATGACTCTCTCAGAGATAAACCTTGCCGGTTTAAGGATGCAACAGATCCAGTTAAGAAAATATATAATATAATTTATGAAATTCTGTGTAATGACTGTGAGGTCAATTTCTTGGGTCAAACTAGTAGATCGGAGCCAACTAGATTATTGGAGCATGAAAACTTAGCTAGACCTAGAATAATTGACTAGGTGAGTATTAAAAGGTAATATAGTTAGATGCTGGCACAGCGGTTAGGACGCTCGTCGACCATGCACACGGTACGGGGTTCGATCCCCGGCCGACGCGCTCCTTTACCTCGCTAAGACAGAAATAATGCTGGTAAAGAAGAAAGGTTGGTCATGAGGCTAGCAAACCCATCCCGTAAAAGTAAATACCACTTCTACAGAAACTTTAAGCCACTAGCTTGAGGCCCTATATTCCAATGGGAACGTGAAGGGAAAAAAAGAAAGAAAGGGAGGTTAATCAGTGAAGTATGAAACTTGGGCACTTTGGTAGAGTATAACTCCATTATAGATAAGATTTTATTTTGATAAATCACACAGTGTTATACAGTAATATTAACTGATGACATTTCAAGCATAAACTATTGCTCATAATCATGTCAAGTCACTCACACAAATTCTTACTTCATTTATATACATATATACACATATAAATGAAGTAAGAATTTGTGTGAGTGACTTGATATGATCATGAGCAATAGTTTATGCTTGAAACGTCATCAGTTAATTATTATTATTGTTGTATCCTTTAATTCCTAGAGGAACATAGGGCTTCAGCCACCCAAGTCTCCATTGCCTTCTGTTTTCTGCCAACTTTTTCACCCCCCTCCAAGTCTGCCCACATGCTTTCATCTCCTCTTCACATGACCTCCTCCAAGTCACCCTTGCACTGACGACCAACTCGCCGCTTCCCTTTCGGGTTCAACTCGGGCAATGGCTTGTCTAGTGATGTCACTTGATGGTTTCCTCAGCGTATGGCCAATCCATCTCCATTTCTTCCTGTCTATTTGTTTCACAATCGGTTCTTGGCTGTTTCGCTCATTGCCAAAGATCCCTGTTTCTGATCTTTTCTGGCCATCTGATCTTGAGTAGCGAAGACAACTGTTGATGAAGGTCTGGAGTTTGTTTGAGATGCTCTTTATGACTCGCCAAGTCTCTGATCCATCCGTATAATAGCACTGACTTCACATTCGAATTGAAAATCCGGATCTTATTTTTGATTCTGAGTGCTGTTGACTTCCACACAGATTTGAGATATGAAAGCTTGTCTTGCTTTTCCGATTCTGGCTTTGATATCCTCGTCAGATCCGCCTGTAGTTGAAACGATGCTTCCCAGGTAGGTGGGTAGGCAAAGGAGGTTGTTTCTTTCAGGTTCTTCCCATTTATGCTGGCTGATTGTTGTCTGTTGTTGTTGCTGTTGCTGTTGGACAGGAATCTTCATCACCTCTGTTTTCTCTATGTTCACTTGAAGTCCCATCTTCTCCGGATGCTTCTTCTGCCAGCTTGTTCCTTTTCACTTGGATATCTTCCAGTTTGTGGGAAATCAGACATATATCATCGGCGAAGTCCAGATCCTCCAAGTTCTTTGTGTGAGTCCATTTTATGCGTGTTTCCTCGCTCCCCGTTGTCTGTCGCATTATCCAATCTACTGCAATCAGGAGGATCATTGGCGATAGTAGACAGCCTTGCCTCACTCCCGTTTTCACTTCGAAGGCTTCCGTAAGTTTCCCGTTGTGGATTACTTAGCATGCAGCATTGTCATATAAGTGTTGGATAAGATGTATAATTGTCGATGGGAGCCCTGAGTAGCGAAGTAGTTGCCAAATCATCTCTCGACGGACGCTATCGAAGGCCTTTTCAAGGTCGATGAAGTTGACTGAAGTGGAGAGGTGAGTGCCATTCCAAGCTTTGTTCAATGATAATCCGTAGAGTAGCAGATCATCAGTTGATATTACTGTAAAACACTGTGTGATATATCAAAATAAAATATTATCTATAATGGAGTTAATCAGTGAAGCTTTGTTTATCGATTCAACACCGCATCCTAACAATGGAAATGGCTCGACTCCTACACCGAAGATATGGGAAGTGGCAACAAAGAGAAGTTGGAGAGACAAAAAGTGAGGATACATATATATATATATATATATATGATAGCTTTGAAATTAGAAAAGCAGCTGTATGTTAGGGTAGTCTGATTACCACAAAGTGTGCTGAATACCATAACAACTGAAACAATCAGAAAAAAATCACCCTCAGCACTGATTAAGGTATTAAACCGGATCATGGATCTCAAAGAAATGGTACTGATTTGACTTGAAAACACGGTTCACATTATATTATTATTTAGACAAGACACGGAAAACCAATTAGGCAGCACAAAATAGTCCCACATCCCTCCATCGAGTCTTGTCAACTGCAGACATCCTAAAACACTTAAGATATCACTGCACAAAATTGTTCACTTACTTTGATTATTTAACTTGAAAATGGGGGCTAGTAATATAATGAATTTCAATACGTAAAGAATTAAATGAATAAACTTGCATGCGTTAGTAAACTTGTTGCAGCATATTAGATAGTTGGAGGTGATCGGCAGGAAGCCTTGCACCTAGGTTTCGTGCTAGTCGGTGCCCATCAGTAAGGCGAATCTGCAACCTTGAAAGAACTCATGTCCCTTCTGAGATTCGAACCCGCGTCACCCAGTGCTGCAGCGAAAGACGTTACCATTGAGGTATTCGGGCTCGCGATTGACCTCCTGTAGTGTGACGTGTCTAGTCCTTTCTTTGGTGAAGACTGGATTCTATCAGTCAGGTTTTGCAATGTGGCCACCATTCTAGGTAGCTTTCCATCACGGTGCACATTGATTTGATGATGTTAGATAGTTGGAGGTTATCGGCAGGAAGCCTTGGACCTACATTTCGTGCCAGTATATATATATATATAGTACAGTATATAGAAAAAAAGCTTGACGTATACTCTGGAGTTAGGAAGATAAGTCGGATATCGAATAGAGAAATGAAACTAATTGCAGATACAAAGTAAGCGTTGCATAATTTAGATAACTCAGAGCTCTTGAAACAACATGAGTAGAATTCAGGCACGAAGATCACGAATATAAATGACGAAATAAAATAGGAGTAGAATAACATCATCAGAAAAAAATATCAATGTGACGAAAATTTAGAAATGTGGCTTAGGCTTCTGAAGTGCCAGTGCGTTGCTACAATCTTATCGAAGAACATAGACAGACTTCAAAGAAATAACTTCGAACTAGTAGTCTGTGAAGAACTGTTATCCTCATTTTCAAATCTTTTGACTATCGCCTTTGCCTACTCACTCCTTTATCTGGCTAAGCCAATAATGACTTGTAAAGAGGGAAGGTTGGTCATGAGGCTAGCAAACCCATCCCGTAAAAGTAAATACCACTTCTACAGAAACTTTAAGCCTCTAGTTTGAAGCCCTATGTCCTACTGAGAACGTCAAGGAATAACAAAATACAGCAAAACACATAACCTCGGATGTAGACTATAATGGTGGGATTAACAGATGAGTTTTCGTATACCACTCTTGAAGACCCTGTGCTAAACGGAAAAGCTCATCTCTTGTTGTATTAGGCAACATGAGGAAAACTTGGGATGCAAGTTGTCGTAGTTGACACACATAATCACCTAGTCTTTGTTAGTGGCTGGTAAATGCATTCAAGTAGGTAAAAGAGGATTTTTCTGGTTACAAACACCCGTGGAGAATATTATAACTAATAGAAAATAGGACAGTTTGCTCAGGGTCCCTAACAACATTTCGGTGGGTTACGTCACCACTCTGTGTCAGCATCATCTGTAGGTGATGGTCTCGTGTTAGACAGTGGCTCAGGACGCTCTTCATTCTAAACCTCCAGACTTCATAATCACCCTTCTCGATTCGAATGTTTGTAGTGCTCATACTGGTACAATGGTCCCTGCCAGTTACAGGTACAAAATAATAATTACAAAATTAGGTGAAATACTGAAATAAATATCAATGCCTTTAGACAGATTGTTCAGGAGGAGTATTCAGACCAGTCATTCTACCGTATGGTTTTCATGTATGCGAAACCACATGACAAAAGTTGTGTTTCAATCCTTGTCATACGTGAGCTCTGATATGCTCCTTCTCATAGTGTTACTTGCTGATGATGCCTCAGATAGGGATGACACTGAAAGGTCAACAAATAACCCTATCATTTTAAACTGCTGCTCTATTCGTTTCACCAAGTATGATGAATCCACTTCTAAATATCTCTGCCCTCAGATTTGACGTGACCAATGGACGAGAGCTCGAAGACCATGAGTGGTAAGAACCTACTGCGTTAGTAAAACTAATCTAACCACATATCAAAACGTCAAACCCGACGGTCATCACTATAATCACACTGGGATAAGTACTAGTGGATGGTTCAGGCTAAGAAGCAAATAAGCATTCAGCTTAGTCAGATCGGTTGACACTTCGACATCTACACTGGATGTTTAGATTGAATGTATGGTGCAAGTGATTAGGACGTTGGTTCTTTTTTTTCTTTCACTCAACAATCTTCATCCACCTTCAGAAAAATAACCTCGAATTAGGATCTGTGCGTTGGTGGCACAGGGGTTAGGACTCTCACGGGCCACGGACATGGTCCGGGGTTCCACCCCCTGCCGATGCACACCTGATATCTATGGTCGGCCTGCAAAATTTGGGCTACCAAT